CCCAGGGGACCAGTCCAAAGACACCCCACACAGCTTTCCACGACAAGCTGCCAGCAGAACTTCGACCAAATCAGACTCTAACCGAACCATCAACACCTGCAAGCATAGTAAAAAGAGTTTAAAACTACAACATGGGATAGAGTATTTACATTAAGAACAATTAGGACCCACTCCTATTTTACTTGCTTTTGCATCATGTTCCACGTAAAACCTCCAAAGAAGTAACCAGAAGAGTTTGCCAGCTATAGTTGAGTAGGGTAGACAAACATCAAAAGAAGAGAAGTACATCAAATCAAACTTCTGCTCTTTTTGTGACCAAGAATTGCCCTTCCCTACAATTCTGCCTTCCTTCAATACACAAAGCATAGGACACAGATATATGATGAACTAACTCAATCACTATTGCTTTAACTAGACCAATATGCAAACCCAAGTGAACACGAAGACATCCATTGTTTTCTTTTTTAACTCTTTGAAAAGTGATATCCCAGCAATATGGAACTAAACAGGGTCTCCACATCACCTCCCTCACCCCACTGTACTCAATTTCCAACCCAACGTACGTAAAAAAAATTACCAGCAACTCTTTGGGATTGCTAATCATCCAAGAAAGGTTCAATCGAATGTTCACTTGAACCCTTATTCAGCTACTCAAACTGCATCATTAGATGCAATTAAATAGGAACTATGAGGTCCCATAATAAGCTAAGTCTATTAATCAAGATAGTATAATAGCAACCATACTTCGATAAAAACGCGATGAAACCGAACACCCTAGGAGAGATGCTCTAACATGAACAAATTGCAAGTAATATGGCAACAAATTGGAAGAGGATTATGTAAAGAGGCAATAGTAACTTGTTATCCAAATAGAAATGCCAAAAGACTATGAATCATCTTAGAGATCAGGTATTCAAGTCCATAATTGGAAGAAGAGCACCAGCTCACCTTGCAAAAGCACCGCTATTATCCACCTCTGAAACCAATCAGTTTCCCACACAAGTGATTTTCAACCAATTTAGTAATATTTTTCACTTGTAGGACACAATAGTGATAACTCTTTTTTCACAAAAGAATGAAAGTAGTATATGTTACTCCGCGGTGCATCTATAGCTGCTGAAACACTACTTAGCAAGTGCCACATCATGTGATCAATAGAAAGCAGTATGTTTCAAACAACATATTCATCATAAACCAAAGTGAAATAGCTGACGCTTCCAGTGCTTCCCTATGCTTAACTTGAAACAAAGATCTATGGTACTAACACAACTTTCAATACGAAAATAACAAGTTTGATTGCAAGTGGCAAGCAAATCCAACTAACCTGGCATTCTGGATCTCCAAAGCGCACATTGTACTCAATTAACTTCGGAAAACCAGTTTTCTTCTCAATCATGAGCCCAGCATACAAAACCCCGACAAACTTGCAGCCTTCTTCAGCCATTCCCTTTACTGTAGGGAAAATTATAGACTCCATGACCACTGATTGCAATTCTTTTGTCAAGACAGGAGCCGGAGAATATGCCCCCATACCACCGGTATTTGGTCCTGTATCGCCATCCCCAACTCGTTTGTGGTCTTGAGCAGATTCTAAAGGTATGGCATGCTCACCATCTACCAGGGCAAAAAATGATGCTTCCTCTCCTTCCAGGTATTCCTCTACGATGACTCGAGAACCAGCAGAACCAAAAACATTTTCCACAAGCATAGAATCAACCGCCTCATATGCTTGCTCCAATGTCATGGCAACAATAACTCCTTTACCGGCAGCCAATCCATCAGCTTTAACAACAATAGGGGCACCTTCCTGTTTGATGTACTCTTTTGCAGCGGATGGGTCCGTAAATGCTTGATACTGCACAAATATATCCACCATAGATGAAGTCAAATCAAGACATGAATTGAGCCAAGTAGAAAAGCCAGGTATCATATGAATATTAATACATTTTTATTAAAAAGAACAAGCAAATATAGATGAAACAAGATATATTGCACAAACCTTTGCAGTTGGAATTCCATATTTATCGCATAAACTCTTCATGAAGTTCTTAGAACCTTCTAAAGCAGCTGCTTCTGAAGAGGGGCCAAAGGTAGGAATTCCTTCCTTAACAAGATCATTAGCAAGACCTGCAACAAGAGGAGCCTCTGGTCCCACAACAACCAGCCCAACTCCCCATTTACGACAAAAAGCGATCACAGCTGAACTATCTAAAACATCAAGGTCTGTTATGCAAGTAGGCATCTCTTGAGCTGGAAATTCCAGCATTACCAGGTGCACAGAAAATTGCATCACAAGAAGGGGATCGCCTCAGAGCATGACAGAGCGCATGCTCTCTTCCTCCTCCTCCAATTACCAAGACAACCACCCTTTCCTCTATAATACCAAATAGAATGAATCAATAAATAATGCAAAAAATTATAACAGCTTCTACATTATATCCATATCAACTGTGCTAATTATGCTAGTTAAATAGCTAGTCTGTGCCAGATAAATAATACAACCAAAAGAATTGATGCTTATATTAAGAAAGAATCTTTTGGCATTATATGGCATGATGGCTATTCCAAAGTATTGAATAACAACTCAAAATTTCATTTTACTCTAAAGGGAAGTGAAAATCAGAACCTAAGACAGAAGCAGGCATTAACATATCCGTTCAGTGAGAAAAAAAAAATTGAATCATTTTAGAATAAGCAGGATAATTGAGAACCTGAAATATCAAAGACATATAATTGCTAAAATATTAGCCAAACAAAGTACAAAAACAGCTTTCAAAAGCGGAAATAACCAGAATAATTGAAAATAGCTGCTTTAGGGGATAATACTGGAAAAAAAATTAAAAAGCAAAAAAACCCCAATTTCTCATACATTGGAAAGATAAAACTAGAGTTAGTAGTTCTTACTGGGGTTGCCATTATCCACAGGAAGGCTATTGAAAACAGTGGCGAAAGATTTGTGAGTATTAAAACCACGGCAAGAAGTATGACGAAGTGAAAAATTGGAACAATCCCAACTGGCGGAGCTGAGGTTGAAAAAACGCTGTTGGGTTGCTGAGAACAGCTTCGCTGAATGGTTTTGGCAATTGCTTACAAACTTTAATGCAGTAGTAGCTCCTATACTGAGAGAGATACAGGTCATTTCTTTACCAATTCACCTCCTTAACCGAGAAAAGAAAAAAAATTCAAAGAAAGAAGTAGGGAAGAGGACGGATTGCTTTAGGTTTTAGTGGGTTGTTTGGGGTTTTAGCACGTTTGACAAAGTATTTTTATGTCCCCCAAAAAAAGTATATAGTATATGAAATATGAGGTCTTTGATCAATATAGAAATGTACTTTTGGACAATAGTAGAAAATTATTTCTTTTAAGATAAAAATATCTTAATTCCCTTTTTTTATAGTAACTGCGATCAAATGGCTTTTAGCAATATTTGCTAGAAACCAAAAGTTAAGGTAATTATTTCCTAGTCTGCATTTTCAATTTAGGTTTTTTTTTTTTCTATAGAAAAACTCCCAAACGAACCAGTAAAATCCAACTTTATGTACATGTATAAGGTAAACTTATCTGTCAGATGCAAATTTAAGATTTTTATTACATGGGTGCATCATCCCTGCTCCTCTAAATAGATAACTCGACATTCAATCAAATGCATTATTTAGCTTCTTTGAAGTATGGGTACCGATACATAATATTATATTAATTTTACAAAATTAGACCATGGGTTCACATGCCTACAAATTATGCTTAAATCCGCCCCTGCTATCAGCAATATTACTCGATTTCATTGGGAAATTTTACACTTTGGAAGAAATGAATACAAATTCGGGACAAAGTCATGATTCAAGTTCTTTTGTTCCAACAACTCGTCATTCCATCTTTATAGCTTTGCTACTAGGCGTAGGATTTTTAAATTTAATTTTTAATTAATAATATAAAATAATTAGACAAAAAAATATTAAAAGTTCACGCTTTATGGATTACTGGAGCAGTTGGACCAAACTTTTGTTATTTTCCCTTTTTTCGTGTAAAAGTTTACAGGTTAGCACTTTCCGAGCCGATTTTGAAATATAGCCAGAATTTAAAATATTATTGAAAAGTAACCACTTTTAATGTTGATACTTTCCTAATTTTTCAAATTCATGATAAGGATTTCGAACTTAACAAAAAGTGAAACTCCAATGATAGTTTCTTGTATTTCGTTCATGGTACTGTCATGGAATTTCACTTTTTTAAATTTGAAATCCATAACATCGTCATGGATGATTGGATTCCAAAAATTGGCTATTTTTTTATTTTTTTTATTTTTCAATTACAAGTCTGGAAAATGGCTATTTTTTAAACTTAAGGGTTTTCTTCTTTTTTCTTTTTTTCGGAAAGAAGGGGAAAAAAGGGATATCTATGCGCAAAGTAAGAAAATGGATTACTAGTAAAGTCATCAATGTAGGCAGTAGCATTTTAAATCTCCCATGTTCCAGTTTTTTCTATTAAAATACAGTGATGATTCATCAGAGATATTTTTTCTACTTATATCTATCTTCTAACATGAATTAGTTAAGTAGTTTACTAATATTTATATGCATCAATTGCCCCCTCCCATTTAAAATATAGACGAAATTAAACAAATAAGGCAAAGGGTGTGACAAGGCTGGTGAATTGGGCCCAGCCAATTCAATGAGATTGATATATTAGGAAACAGTTCTTTAGACAAAAAGATATCCCTTTTGTTCTTAGAAAAAAGAAGAAGATAATGAATCATCATCATTTTACATATAGATAAGACTCTTATTAAATAAAATAAAAAGAAGTGATGAAGTTTAATCCAGCAAGTAAAGATACAACTGGCCAAAATTGATGTTTGAATGGATCCGTACCTACAATAATTTATTTAATTGGGCTCCATGTGGCACTCAATTCCATTAACTAACAAAACTGTCACACTCATTCGAGTTTGACTAGGCTCCCTCGAATGTCCGATATTTTCATTGTCATGAATGCTTTAAATACATAAATTTTTACAAATATCTCACTGTGCAAATTTTTGATTACTTTTATTCTCTTTCTTTACATCAAATTTTTTTCAGAGGAATTGTTAGGGGATGATGGGGATGAAGAAGAGTTATTTGGCAATGAAGACAGATGCAGCAGTCGCAAGTGATCTGATTGATTCAGATTTGAAGGAAATTGGTTTTGCTGCTAAGAAATTAGCTAAGCATGCCATTATGCTTGGTGGCATTGGTTTTGGCACTACTTTCTTCATGTGGCTTGCTTCTTTTGCTGCTATGTAATCTCTCTCTCCTAAATTCTGAAAAATGCATTGAGACAGATCCAAAATATAAACTTCAGGAATATCATAAATTTATATGTGTTGAAATTTTAGTAATTTTTTTTGACATGTATGCTATCTTGGGTTTATTTTTTAAATACCTTGTATTGATGTTACTTGCTATAAGTGTCCCTTCTATCCTTTTTTTAGACAAGGATATATCGAAAACAGTCTCTGCCCTTCTAGGGTAGGGGTAAGGCTGCGTATCCTACGTGCCTTTCCCAGACTCCTGTTGTGAATTACACGTTGTTGTTGTTGTTGTTTTGACATGTACATAATTACAGTTACTTGCTGATCTTGGATCGAACAAACTGGAGGAGCAATATGCTCACAACTCTCCTAATTCCTTACATTTTCTTGAGTCTCCCTTCGTTGTTGTTTGGTTTGTTCAGGTATTTCTTCATTTCCCTTTGAAACTTCCCTTAGTTATTTTTTAAAGCATGTTTTTCATACGTAACTTTATCTCTTTGCCTTTTGTAATTAAGATGTAACATTTTGTATGTATGTTGATAAATACAGGGGAGATTTTGGAAAATGGCTATCTTTGATCGCTGTTATAACACGCCTTTTCTTCCCTAAACACTTTCCAGGTTCAATATATATACACCTTCGCTCTTGTATATTGTAGCTTAACATTATATTGGATTTGATATGTGATTAGGGGATAATACACACAAAAGGGGTTCAATCAAAAGCAAAATTATAATTAAAATAAATTTTGGAATTTTTATACTTGTAGAACGGTTTAGCCTATTTGGCTATAAGAAATTTCACTTTTTTTCAGAATCATGTTTGGCTATGAAAATTTCAATTTTCAGATGAAGTTGAATTTCGGGATTTTTTCGAAAACTTTAAAAAGTTGTTTTTCAAAATTTTCACTTCAAATGACTCACAAAAATTCAAAAACAGCTCCAAATTGTATTCATGTCCAAACACTAACTCTAATTTTCAAATATTATTTTCACTTAGAAAAAAATTTCACTTTTTTCCGGAATATCACAATTCTTATGTCCAAACGCTCACTTAGGCACCAGTTCATTTGGTCAATGAAACCTCAGTTTTCTATAATTATGCAAGTTTATGCTTATTTTTGACAATTTTAAGTGCAGATTGGCTAGAAGCGCCAGCAGCACTGGTCCTTCTAATGGTGGTGGCTCCTAGTTTGTTGGCTGACACCTTCAGGGATAGTTGGATTGGTACGTTGGTTTGCCTAGTTATTGGATGTTATCTTTTGCAAGAACACATTAGAGCTTCTGGAGGTTTCAGGAATTCTTTCACTAAAGCCAATGGCATTTCAAACACTGTTGGGATCGTTCTCCTTTTGGTATATCCAGTCTGGGCATTGATTCTACACTTCCTATAAACAAAGTCGACAATATTGGCTCTTCTTTCACGACCACTTGTCATGATTGCAATTTGCTTGGAAGATTCAAGTCTGATTGTTTTTTCTTCAGTTTATTTGGATTTTTTATTTTTATTTTTAAAAATCAGTATGAGTAATTTTGTAATAGATTGCTTTCTTCTTGTCTGAATAATGTGTTTTTGTGCCCAGAATTCGTTACTTTATATACTACTATGAATTATGGATGTTTGTGTAAAGAAGTGACAACGTACATTTTCGTTTTACTTGTCTATTTTAGGATCTGGGTTTTTCTTCTAAAAGCTCCCATAGTTAAGTGAATGAATATAGACTTCCTTTTACTAGTTTCAAGTATCTATCCATTTGAGTTGAGCATAATCCAGTTCAAACCAAAAAAAAATGTTTTTTTTCTTTTTCCAAAGAAGAACGAATAAACAAAACCTCGCCTAAGTAGCCATTGATGCCCAACCCCACGGCCCACGGGCAGTGACGAAATCAGGAATTTTGCAAAGGGTGTTCAAGGTTTAGTATATAATTATAAAAAATAATTTTTAACCTATTTATATAATATAATTTTTTATATACTCAATATAATTTTCCGACAAAGAGTGTTCAGTTCAACACCCTTCATTCTATGTGACTACGCTACTGCCCACGGGTAGTATTCATCAAAAGTTATAGCATTCTAAGCTTGGTAAATGTGGATCTGGATCATTTCAGGAATTTCTATTTGTATGGTTGAAGGTGCAAAAGACTCATTAAACTAGAAGCTTTAGTATGAAATACTCTATTCTTTTTATTTTATTGGCAAATGATATAGCAAATTTAGTGCCTCAAATTTGCAGACTCTGAACCTCGAGATTCTAAATTTTATATGCTGGAGATTTCATAGGAGTATCTATACATAAAATAAGGGCAATGATTGCGTAAAGTACATGTGTATGCTCTTTCTAATTTATCAGTAATGTGCACTTGATAATAATGTTGAACTTCCGAAAGAATCAGCTGAAGCTTGCCAATTCATCAGCAAGTCCAAGTTCTATGGCTTTGATCTATGCAGTTTTTGCATTACCTTCTTTGTAAAGTTGATCGACAATGTCCTGCATACACAACATATAAAACTATTAAGTACGCTGACACAAATCTTAGCAGATGAATCTAGACATTCAGAGTGCGAGAGGTGCGTAGATTATCAGGATAAGACTAATTAAGATTTCTCTAAATACTGAAAATTAGCTTTTGCAAGGTTCCTTCTGTTCTGTTCCACACCTCTTTGACTTCAAAACAGTAACATATCGTAGGTTTTATTAGGTAACAAGCAATACAGATAAGGTGACAGTCGTTGTTACAAAAGAACGTGTTGAGACATAATATAATTAAGTAGTTAAAAGTGTCCTCTCTCTAACATTAGACGAGACCATGTTGACTCGTGTGACCAATTAACCATCGAAGCTTTTAGGTGAGAGATTGTACCACAATTCAACAACAACAACAACACACCCAGTATAATCCCATAAGTGAGGTCTGGGGAGAGTAGAGTGTACGCAGACCTTACCCATACCTGGTGAGGTAGAGAGACTGTTTCCGATAGACAAGTGCCACTATGGATCAACATAAGGGATAAATCTTTGGCTTAAACAAACAAAAGTGTATACCTTGTAATGGTTGAGCAGCTGTGGCCTTTTTAGTTTGAACGTTGGAGTAACTAAATCTCTCTCAATGTCAAAAGGATTTGGCTCCAAATGGACTGCACGTAACATTTCAAAACCTCGAAGCTGTGGAGGTATTTTTCTGATCAGAGTAAGAACTGGAAAAAACCATAGACTCAAAAGAAATTTGCTACATACTTGGTGTTTCTTGGCAGTGCTGTTGAGTTCATCCAAAATGTACTTCCTCGCCGTTGAGTTATTGCATAGAGCTGAAAAATCTCCAGTTTCCTGATTACTTGAAGCCCAGTCTTCCAGTGCTTTTCTTTCTGGAACTACCACGGCCACTAAAAAGGACTCGAAACTATTTCCATATATCCAGATCTGTTGACCAGATTATGAGTTAGAAGGAAATTGTGTCACATGGAACATGCAATCATCTTAAAAATGCAGCAACTCATGTTTAAAACACCCGATTAGTATAAAGGAAATAGGGTAAGCAGGGCAGGTAGACCCAACCCAAAGTTCAAACGTTTTGAGTGTTAGCACTTATGGTAATTTTGTAATGTTTAGATTTTCTCTTTAGAGCATGATTATTTTGTACATCCTGCAACTCTTATTACTAGAAAGGATTTTAAGTTATAACACTAGTATATGATCATTGTAATTTAACTTATTGTAGCACGTAAATTGCCATTTTTATTTGGTTACCAATTAATACTTACCGATGTAATAAGTGGGCAACTGGAGTATACCCCTTCAATGCTTTCCACAGCCACATACTCCCCTTGAGACAGCTTGAATATGTTCTTTTTCCGGTCAATGATTTTCATTGCTCCATCTGGCTGCAACTCACCAATGTCACCTGCAATTTTTTCCCATGCTCAGAATTCGTTTGCACAAATCAATTGTTACAGCTCAAGACTAATGATGTAAACTATCATCAGATAATTGTAAATTGCGTTGCAACTTCAGTGATACTTCAATTCTCCATAGTGTCTACTTCTTTTGCTGGTTGAGTCAAAACGAAGCATGCTCATTTCCACCGTATGAACATGACAACACCGTGAAGAGGAGCCTTGGCGTAACTGGTAAAGTTGCAGCCACATGACCAGGATGTTGCGGGTTCGAGCCGTGGAAACAGCCTTTTGCAGAAATGCAGAGTAAGGCTGCGTACAATAGACTCTTGTGGTCCGGCCCTTTTCCGGACCCTGCAATAGTGGGAGCATAGTGCACCGGGCTGTCATTTTTGAACATGACAGCACTGTGAAGAAGTAAGAAGGTTTATTGCTCTTTCTCTTCATTACCTGTATGAAACCATCCATCCACAAGTACTGCTTTTGTAAGATCTTCTCGTTTATGGTACCCCGAAAACAAAGTTTTTCCCCTCAGACAAATTTCTCCGCGTGGCACACTTGCAAGCGCATCATATCCCATTTCTGGCACGGACTCAAGTCTTGCCTCTATTGTAGTCATTGGAACACCAACAGTTCCTATCATGGGCTGTACATTGGCTATGGATGTGAAACATCCTCCACAACTTTCAGTAAGACCTAACATTGAAGAGTAGGTCAAAATAAGCACAAGAAAAGGTTACAACTGACAAAGAAGAGCGGTGAAAATGCTACTACATTTTTCTATGAGAATCAACATTATATAAAATGTAGCAATTCTACTATCTACAATAACATCCTTGCTTTTCAAAAGTTGTTCACTCTTATTTGATTTAAAGTACTTGGGCTTCACATGAGTTTATATACAACAACAACAAACCCAGTGTAATCCCAAGTTTAGTCTGGGGAGGATAGTGAGTACGCAGACTTAAACCCTACCTTGTGAAGGCGGAGAGGTTGTTTCCGATAGACCTTCGGCTTCACATGAGTTTATATGATTTACTATATATCTGTTTAGGTGTTAGGTCCCCAAAATTTGCAAGGAAACACAGAGAAGGGATCTTAGGATTTAAGGTGAATAAAGGAAACTAGACAAATTATGAAAACATAGTAAGTTTACTAGTAGTATTCAATACCATATCCTTGTGCTAAAGAACAGCAGCATGTCACCCTTAGAAATTCTTCGACATGCTTGGGCAAAGGAGCAGCTCCAGAAAGCATGAGACGAACTCGTCCACCAAATGCTAGTTTGATCTGGAACGAGAAGTATATGCAAATAAGTCAATCGGATTATGGACCAAGTAAATGCTAGGGATCAGATAGCAAACCTTGTCAAAAACCAGCCTGTCAAAGCGAGGAGCTGCTTCATCTTGTCTTAGTCCNGTGCAAATAAGTCAATCGGGTTATGGACTGAGTAAATGCTAGGGATCGGATAGCAAACCTTGTCAAAAACCAGCCTGTCAAAGCGAGGAGCTGCTTCATCTTGTCTTAGTCCTTTCTCCATATTCCTTAACTTGCTGGAAAAAATATATATAATGCTTAATATATAATAGGAATGAAGGCAAACAAATGCAAATAATGTTGATCTAAGCACAGAAACTTTATAAGAGGACGTACTAGTTATATGCATATCGGAAAAGCAGCTTCTTTAACAAACCTCCAGCTTCAATTTTATCCATCACACCTGAATTTCCCACACCCGAAAACAAAAATTAATAGAAAAGAAATAGGGGAAAAAATGAGACTAGCAAAAACTAATTTATGTAAAAAAATTAAGCTGAATTTTGTTCACTGAACAGTAGATTAGAGACCTGTGTATATCCTGTCAAAAACTCTTGGAACTCCACAAAATATAGTGGGCTTCAATACCAGAAGATCCTCAATCAAGTATCTAATGTCCTGTTATTCAGATGCAAACATCTATTTGATTCAATCGGGCTTGAACAAACAGCAATATAGGCAAAGAAAAGCTATAAGTAATTCACGGTACAAAGAATATATGTATCTTACGCCTTGCCAAAATCCTATTGAAGCACCCCTGTATATGCAATATGTCTCAACTATTTGATCAAATATATGAGCCAGTGGAAGGAACGAAAAGTACACGTCCTCTCCTGTTCCCTGAAATTGACACAAATACATAAGAGTGAGATCACACTTGGCTATTATTGCACCAATGAGAATAAGATAGAAAATATGTAAACCTGCAGGAGATTCGCTATAGTCAAACAGGATTTGCTGGTAACTTAATGATTGCTATGCTCAATTTAAAACTTTGGGCATATTCGCGCAATATAGAGAATGAAATCTTACTTAGGAGATTAAACGTGAGCACTTAAATCACAATTCCTGTCAAGTTTTGCAGATGATATGATGTCTTAAGTTCAAGCTAGATCAAAATGATTGCTTGTGATGGAGCAAGAAAAGACACTAACCAAACACAAATATTGATGATATTGGTTAAATTGAAAATCGTACGTCTAGATTTCCAAAGAGTTAAAGGCTACAAGTCTTCACAAGTTAGATATCTAAACTTTCAGGAGCAATAACTCAAAATTACCTCTTCGTCTGTTACAGCGAGAAGTTGATCCATCGACAGAACTTCTCCCATGAAAGCCCCATTAGTCAAAATGACACCTTTTGGTTCTCCAGTAGTTCCACTTGTGTACATAATTGTACATATATCAG